CGCCCCCACTCGGAGTAGCTCGGAGTCCTAGTGGGAGCTCGGAGTTGCTTGGAAGCGCCTTCCGAATTGCAAGCTCTTCTGAGCCCCTACAAGAGTGCTGCCTGTTGGCGCGAGAGTCCACTATTGAGAAGCTTCGAAGTAAAGAATTCTGAGCTATGGCTTCAAATGGGCCCAGCAAGTGCTGTGTGTTGGGAGCTGGGACCACCCTCCCTAGAGAGAGTGCAATGGCTTTCAAAGTGTGCAAGATGCGTTCCCAAGCAGACGCGTTCCCAAATGTGCAATGGCGTTCCACACACAACCCAGAGGGAGTGCCAGAAGAGTGGAAGACAGGCGCACAGAAATGCGTCGACAGTGTGTGTGGAGCGATGTTTTGCACTGCGCAGAAGTGCCCGGAGAGTCGCTCAGAACGAGTCTCCTGGTACCGTACAGAAGTGCGACGAGAGACCTTGAGCGGCAATATTTTAAAGTGGGGGCAGAGTCCCCCCTGGGTTGTGTGTGTGGTCGCAAAACGCACCACCTGCAATTTGAACCGCGACCGCGCTTGGCGGCCGCTTTCCGGTGCCTTCCGGAGCGGAGCGGCGCTCTTCCGCCGCGGACCAGTTTGGGGTGGGTGTGCAAACATACCGCCTGCAATTTGCTGCTCGGCGCCTCTCCGCGCCTTCCGGCGCCTGGCACCGCGACCGCGCTCGGCGGCCACTTTCCCGCACTCTCGCGCTCTTCCGGCAACCGGCACCGCGACCGCGCCTCGGCGGCCGCTTTCCCGCGCTCTCGCGCTCTAGGCCCAGCCCAAGATTGTTTTCAATCCAGGGGATATCCCCGAGATTGCCGCTGCATTTGTGCAGTTGCGCAGTCATTTGTGGGGCAGGCCCACAGTTGCCCGGCCATTTGTGGGGCAGGCCCACAGTTGCCTTTTGGGCGGCTCTGCTTGGGAAAGCAGTCGGCAAGCAGTCAAAAGCAGTCGGCGACATGGAAAAGCAGTCGGCAAACTTGTAAAAGCAGTCGGCGAACAGAGAAAAGCAGTCGGCGCACTTGCAGACAGGCGGCGCACTTGCAAAAGCAGTCAGCGAGCATCGGTGAGCATTTATAAAGCAGTCGACGAGCGTTGAAAAGCAGTCGGCACTTGCAAAAGCAGTCACAGAATGACAGAATGACTGATGACAAGGCGGCCTTGGAAACAAAAATCAAAAACACAGCATTTTTTTGGGTCAAACATGAAGTCGATGGGCTGGCCAGGCCTGCAATTGCACCATGGTTGGCGTGTCATTCGACACCAGTTCCTCAGAGTATGGGGTTTTAGAGTTCAGGGTTCAGGGTCAGGGTACAGGGTTCTTCCGGCGGCGTTGTCGTATGGCAGGGCTGTGTTCTGCTGTGATGAGGATTGCCCGACCAATGCTGGCCTGCCTCCACTCCGCTGTGAGCACTGCAAAGCCAAGTAAAACAATTTGTTTTTTCTTGGTACTGGGGTAGCAGGCCCTCAGGGTCCAAGCACCCCAAAGCTCACCTTTGGCCTTTTCGTTGGGTTGGGCTTCTACATGGTTTCTGGAAGGATCCTGGAAGACCTCCAAAAACCTGGGACCCAGTCTTATGTGAAGGGTCCAAGTGCCCAAATCTTCAGTTCCTGCCCAAAATAATCACAATTCCAATTCTGAGTCTGGGCAGGTTTTTGATCGCGACCACTCCGGCGGGATGTAGGCGGGACACAATGCTCTTTCTTGCAGAGTGGGCCTGAACGCTCAACATGTGGTTGAGGGTTTGACCCTAAACCCCACGATAAAGGCCTCTTTGACTCTTTTTTATGGGCATTGGGCCATTGTTTTGCATGCTTTGAGGGTCGAGGCAGGTTAGAAGACAGGGAAACGAGCTGCCCTAAAATTTCTGGAGCCTCCAAGCCCGGGTCAGGTACCTTCAAATTCTTTATCTATCGATCTATCTATCTATCTGTCTGTCTATCTATCCATCTATCTATCCATCTATCTATTTATCTATCCATGCATCCATTTATCCACCTATCCATCTATCCATCTATCCATCTGCATATGTATATATGTGTGCATATACGTACGTATCTAGATATATACATAGATATGTATTTAGAGAGAGAGAGGGAGTCATCTTGGCCCAGGGCAGCGCGCAGCCCAGCGCCCGGCGATGCTACGAGACAGCTGCTGGCGGCACAAGCACCCGTCAGATCTCTGGTACGAGTTTCTGGACGAAACGCGCAGACGCGATGACGAGTCCCACGACGACTATGAAGCTTCATCGGAGGAGATTCTGGCCGCTTTCAAAGGCTGGGCAGTGGGGCGCTACAACGTCCCTCTGACTCGCGGCGAGATAATAGACGCCATGGCACCTGAATGGGAGCGCGGGCTCGAGGGCGTCCGACTCACCTTGCTCAAGCCCGAGCGCAAGCGCATTGGTCTGGACGTGGGGCTACGCAGTGTCGGGCAGCGGCTTCGGAGCAGGTGGTGGGGCCGGAAGTTTTGCAAAACAAAAAGAAAGAGCCCCTCACCAATCTCACCCAACCTCACCAGCCTAGTCTCACCTCACCAACCTCGCCTACCTCACCAACCTGCGCAGTCATTCGAAGCTTCAAGCATGTTGCAGCTTTGCTCGCGCCAGTGCGAGAATGAGGATGCAGGTCACACGAGCTCAACGAATCACAGGCTTGGACCTTCCCAGCGCTCCTTGATGACCTGAGAAGTCATGCAATCGAACAGCCAGCCCAAAAG